TCTTGACTGTGGAAACAGCAATTTCTCAAGTGTAGTCTCACCACATGATCCATTTAGTGGCTGTTCTGAAGCTTTTGATCATGTCATACTTTATCTTAAGATTGAGTCTAAGATAAGAGAAACAGAGGAAAACAGCTAAGGTTATAGCAGAAGCATTGACAATTGTTTTATCATTTGTTATTGTACTGAGTTTTAGGACTGCTGCAAATTATTAGGGATGTACCGATCTAACTAACTGTCTCCCATTACCAGTTCTCATATTAATCCACCACCTGCATGGCATTTACATGTAGTGATAAATAAGGCAAGATCATGTCAGGTATTACACTATATGTAATGGTGGCTTACTTTGATTGAACAAATGTAACTTAATTTAGCTGAAACACTTAATTTGACAATGGCATTGATGAAGAATCTGTATTAAATGGGGGTCGGTCACATCTGACACCCAGCATGCAATAAGCTATCAATAAAAAAAATAGCTGAGGAGCCACAACCAGAAGGGCTGCAAATTCAATAGACCTTTTTCAGGTTTCAGGTTTAAGCAATGATACTAATTAAGGTTGCTTTCATTCAGGTCAAACAGAGTCAGAGGGCTGCTATTGTGCATGTTGGCTCTCTGGAAAGGCTCTGCTACACTGCATGGAACAGAGCCTTAATTAGTATCATCTGTAACATCTGTGTTTACCTTATTTCATGTCAAAATGGCTCCTGTGGTAAATGTTTGTATGTTACGTCTCTTGCATTGCTTCTCCCTGTGTCACAGTTGTCAAGCTAGGTAACAGGAACACAAAGAGAACTGGATCCAAATGCAGACTACTGAGGCAGATCTGGTGCAGTACAGTAATTTATTACACAAGGTTACAGGAATGAGGCAGGCAATACTCAAAACCGGGAAGGTAGTCCAACAGGGAAAACCAAAAGGGGCAGGCAAGAAATCCAGAATCCCCAAGACACAAGACAAAAACACATAGAAACACACAGGAAAACGTGCTGGAACACTTGGCATCCAGACAAAGATGAAGTGAAAACTAAGGCTTCTTCTTCGTTGTGGGTTTATGGCAGACAAGGCATGTTTAACGCATTGCTGCCTAATATGGCAACGAAGGCAAAGGAACACACAAAGTGGAGTCAGATTATTTTAGCACTGCGGTTGTCTTTTCCAAACTCCCTATGAATTCTCCTTCACATCTGTCCTTGTGGAAAAGCGTTAATGACAGGACATAGGACTTTGTGAGGAGGAGGATAACTAGACACAGGAAAAACCAACTGGGGTGGGGCAGACGATCAAAACTGGTGGGAAAACAGACAAAGACAGAAAGTGAGGTTACACAAGACACAGGGAATAACTAAACTAAAGCCCAAAACCATGGCAATCTATGTAACAACATGTATCTGCGTTGTTCTATAAACTATATTAAATGAATAAGGTCAGTGTCTGTGCTAATTCTGGTTCCAGGGATTGATTGAAGCCTTCCTCAGAGACGCCGTCCTGTCAAATATAGCACGCTGCAGCTATACTAGGCTGTACTGAAGATATTCTGAGAAACACTGATAACAACACTTTTCTTATAAGACATACTGCATTAGATTAATTTAACATAACACGTGTAGAATACTGGTCAAATAGCACAACATAATGCTTCATCATCCTCAGTTCATGCAGTTTATACTCTGCAATACAAAACAAGTCAGTTACCTAGCAGCAACTTAACACTCAGCATGACCTCCAGCTCTTCTCGGCAGCAGCACCACTGAATCAGCCTTATTGTTATTCCAAAACAGCAGACTGGGTTTTAATTTGTCCTGTGATTTGGCAGGTGATTTCTGGATGCCAGGGCAGTGATGAGGAATGCATTCAAATCTGAATAGATCAACAGTCCGGTCCAGAGCAGCCCAGAGACAAATGGAAAGAGATAGAGAGAGAGAGAGATATTTCTTGGAGCCAGGAAGCCTGTTTTTTGACACAACAGGACTAGTCTCAGATAGTGTAAATAACACTGCACACATTCTTAACCAAAGCACATACCTGGGGTCAGCCAGGAGAGACAGAGATACACTTTTGTACCACTGGAAAGCTAGTATGGCAACACTCTACTGTTAAGCCCTGGCTTGGTTTAATATTACATCTTGATATATTGAAATTTGTCTGTAGCTCTACGTGGTTGTTTGAATTAATTTTACTTTAAAATGGCTTTAAGCAGCTTTACATTTGTCATGAGATCGGTTATGAGACTTATTGTAGTTTATCATTTGACCTCAGTTGTCTGCAGCCATGGTGACGCTGGAATAAATGGTTTAGCTGTTAGGTGAAAGTCAAGGAAATGAACAAGGGGGTGCACTGCAGCAAGATTAAAAATAGGTCTCAAAATTATTCTACAGGCCATAGCATTGGCTGGAAGCTTGGCCGCTTGGATGCGTACAAAATCCTGTTATATAGCCTGCAACACACCCCTGAATTCAGATCTGGGTCACAAGAAATCACGAAGAATTTGGAAATATGCTGCCACAGAATACTTTCAGGGGGGAAAAAACAATCTGTAGATTGCATTTGAGAAAGCAATTATCTAAAATGCCTTCATGAAGAGTGGGTCAGATGCCAGAGACACATATCACTGCTCACAGTGGTATCAGATGTGACAGACTGTGTCCCTTCATAGCAAAGCTCGCAACTTACAGTGCCATCATTAACCAGAGTCATCAATATGTAACTGAACCTAAAGGTCTGGCAGCTCTGGGAGAGGCTGGTTCAGAGCTTTCTGGAAACAGAAGCTCAACCAGTGACATTATTTGTTTGGAAACTGCAAGCCAGATGTCTCACAATGTAAAAAAACGGGATTCTACTGTATCTTCAGGTTAGTTTTACAATTACTGTTTAATTTATTTTTCTCTAATTGGTCATTTTAAATCTAGGATAGCAAATACAGGCATCTTTTATTTAAGATATCTACCTAGAGCGCTGTCAACTTAGTAGCTCATTAACACAAGATGTGTTTTACCTGCAGTATATTGTGAAAGACACAATGAGAGTGAATAATTAAAGGACAACCCAATGAATAAAAAGTATGAGCCAGGTAATTAATTTAAATGTGTATCATCAGTGGAATAAATTTTCAAAGAAAGATCTGGCTCTTAATCCTTTTATCCACCTGGAGAACACAGGCAGCGAGGCTGTACACAGCTTTTCAAGTAAAAAACGCTTTTTAGGAAGAAGCAGGATTAAAATGAGATGCTGTAGCTCAAATATTGTTCATCCAAGATAAGCCCACAAACCTGGCTGATTAATTTTTGAGTTTGAAATGAGTTGGTTAAGTTTAAAAAGCATCTTTTGTTTTGGGCTATATAACTTTGCTTAGTGATAAGGAGCTGGAGTTTCCCCATGCTGATAAAAGGGGGAAACAAACACAAAAAAGGAAATGCTTCTTAAGGAAATTTACTTTTCTGTGTCTTGTGGATATCTAACTTTTCAAGGACCAGTGTGTAGGATTTAGTAGCATCTTGCTGTAGTAGCTTATTGCAACACCCTCACTTCACCTTCCTGTTCTAGTGTCTAAAATAAACTACAGTGGCAATGAAAAACATGAAAGACCCTAAGGCCGTGTTTGGTCTGTTTGTTATTGGCTACTGTAACATGGCGGTTCAACATGGTAGAAAAGGTCCCTCTCTTTCTGTAGATAAAAATGGCTATTTTCAGGTTATTATATACTAATGAAAACATACTTAACAACACTTATACATACTAAATACAACACATTTTTTACAGAAGAAGCATGTCAGAATACAAGTTTCCTAATTCATTACTTTTATATCATGCAACAAATGAAAGTATTGTTTCATAAGTGTTTAACTCATTCCTGTTTTCCTAAGTGTTTCTGTTTACATTGCGAACATTTAGAAAGCTTTAGAGAGAAAGCCAAGACTAAACCTGCCATGTTAACTCTTAATTGATAATACTCATATAAGAATTATGCATGTTTTTTCAGTTAGACTTGGCATTGCTGTTTCACTGAGTAAGAACAGGAAAATCGACATACATTCTGACTGAGAGCATCAGTGAACAATATGTCATATCAAGATTAAAATTAACTTGTTCAACAAAGTTTGGATGGGCAGAGCCAATGAAGAGAGAAAGGGGAAAGCATTCAAGGAAGACAATACAATGCAACATGGTCATGGAGAGGCTGATATAGGGAAGCAGAGATATGAGGTGCCATCCGATGGACTCAGCAAACACAAAGGCAGGAAGAGTGTTAAAGAAAATAGCAAGTGACAGATACAAATCACTGACGCTGCAGCACATGGTATCTGTGGCACTCATTCCAACAGCCTGATTGATTTAACCAACATAAAGCCTGGAGGGCTTCGGGTTGTCACACTAAAGGGAGCTCATTGCCTCTCAAACTGAGGCTGAAAGGCTCTAAGAGGACAAGCAGAATGAACAGAAATTCCACATTATGCTCGTCCTTCACTTATCAGCTTTTACAGCTAGAACTGACTTGTCTTTCCTGATATGGTGAGATCAATAAATCAGACATTAATATTATTCTCATTTGTTTAATCTTTCAAAGCTAGTTTAATCCTAGTATTATCAAGGTATTTCTCTTCTGGTTCCTGTCTAGCAAAAAATAATCAGTCTTTTGATATAGTTTTTGTTTTTTTAAATATATATATTGCAGTAAAAAAAGAATAGTGCATAAGCTCCCATTCAACGTCCAGAATCCAAATACTAGTTCTTCTAGCTGGATTTCAACATCCACATGTTGTTTCTTTCTGTGAAACCTATTGACCAACATCATCTTGCCAAAAACACATACTGGTTGGGGGAAAATTGGTCACATCACCAATTTTGCTTTTGAATAGAAGGTGAAAGAAGGGTGATACAACTTTCCAAAGTGGGCAATGACGCAAGTAAATTGTGTGTGTGTGTGTTAGCAGTCTCTAAGTGTAACAGTGTACACCATGGGGATATGATCCCTTCAAGGCCTCTTCCTTTCCTTTGGTTTTCAATGAGAGAAGCAATCATCGTGACACACTTGAGTTTATAGAACCAATTTTTTGGTTTGTATCCATCCAGTAGAGAACATGGATGTACTACACTGAATCGTCACCTCCCTGTCAATGAGGAGAGATGAATTCACCAAACACATAATCACTTATAGCTTAGTGCTGAAATAATCTTTGTATGGAGATCTTTGAGGCAGCGCTTCTGGAAAGCTTGACAAAATGAGACGAAATCTGAGTCACAAATCATAAATTTATACTCTAGCGAGGCACCACAGGTATGTTTTCTATCCATGAAACAGGAAGCTTATACTTGCACTGATATATGCTATCAATGTGCTACAGATGGCTAGTCGAATGGGGTTTCTGCCTGATAGCAGCAGAGGGCTGCATCCCATTTTAGATGTTAGATGTTGCTCATATGACATGTTAATGTTTTATATTCCCGAACACTTTAATGAACATGTCTGCCTGAATTGATGGAGACTGATTGGACTGATTTCACTTCTTCAAAGCAAACCTGTGCATCCATTAAAATGCAAAAGATGTTCATGAATAATCATTACTTCACACCTTCTGTCTGTTCACATATCATATGTGACAACACAGAGGTAGAATAAAGGGAGGTTTTGGTTATTTAGTATGCTTCCTGCAGTGGCTGCCATTCACTATATAATTATTCACTCAGTGAATGCAATTTAATTAAAATTTAACTGCATTTCAATGTGAAATTAAATTATAAATACCATTTATGTGCACCTCTGGTATCCACCTAGAAAACATGCATTGTATAGTGACTCATAAGCTGAACTCTGTACCATGTCCAACCCAGTACTACATAATAGCTGTTTTACATAATGAAACTTTTTTGTCATCTTTCTTTCCACTGTGTCAATTTCACAGTACAATTTGTGAAACTAACCTCAGGTAAATTAATTAGTAACCTTTTGAGATGTTGCAATCCTTAACAGAACATTGGCGAATTCTGTCCCTGGAGATCAGAGATACACATGTGAACAGAACGGGCCGATGCTTCAGTGGAAAAACCTGCATTAGAATCGAATGCTACAGACATGGAGGGGTCCAGTGACAAGCTTTTCTGCTGCAGGTGGGTGCGCCACAGGGTTCCCCTGGCCCACAGAGAGGAACTCTACCACATCCTGAGGATGACAGGGCCTCTGGTAAGGACCGGCTCTGTTTAGATATCCTGCTCTGTTTGTAAGGGACTGTGACAATAGAGGCTGTCATTTATAATATTTTGATTTATGCAACAGGAGATTGATGAAAGTGCGTTGTTTAAAATGTCAGGAAAAATTGAGTTTGTGCCTGAGTTATAGAAGCAGAAATCAATCATCTCAGATCAGTGTTTGCGAGACATTTGATTTTGAACTGTGTCTGAACAGTGGCTGCAACGTGCCAAAGTGACAATGACCTCGTTTACAACGATCATGCTAGCTTGTGTTTACTGTAATTTAAAATATATTACCTGTTACCTGGTAGCTGTATCACCATTGTTGATGTTTGTCTTTTTGTAGCTGCTGTCTCGAATCCTCAATTACCTGCTTCCATTTGTGGTTACGATGTTCTGTGGGCGTCTGGGAAACGAAGTGATGGCTGGCTATGGATTAGCTTCTGCTGTAAGTGGTCATCTGTATGTTCCATAGACTTGTGGAGGCTAACATTAGAAAATGACAGGTGGAGATGTAATTTCATGGGAGAAAATTGAATATTACAACTGTAAACTCGCCTTCCCATGATAGCTTTTACAATTCTCTCACAAACCTGATGGTTTAATCAATAACTAATACATTTACTATGAGTCATAGAAATCTTGGTTACATCAGAGTCCTCGAGCGAACATCAGACTCATTCAAGAATGTTTCATATTTATTTCAGACCATTAATGTTACCACTGCAGCAACAGGTTGTGGTCTGGGACTGGCATGTGATACTTTGGTGTCTCAGGTTTGAAAAACCCTTTTCCTTACGCAATTTTACCCTGACCCTCAACTTCACTGACTCCAGATCCAAACTGTAAATGTATTCCTCTCCTTTCTTAAATGATTAACATTTTTTTTGCTGTTGTGCAGACATTTGGTGGTAGGAACCTGCTGCGGGTGGGAGTGATCCTTCAGCGGGGCATCATCATCCTGCTGTTGTTCTGTCTGCCCTGCTGGGGCCTTCTCATTAATGCTCAGGCCATACTGTTATGCCTGGGCCAGGACCCTGAGGTGACCAGGTAACTAACAGCAGCAAACTTGCATGTAAAACTCAGTGGCTCTGTCTGTGAATGGAATTCAGTAAGAACTTTTCCCCTGTTCACTTTAACAAACACCACCTTTGCATTGAAATCATTTCTAGTCTCTTGTATTATTTAATGTAGCCGCATGCCACTATTCTAGCATCACACTTCTTCAGGGTTGCTAAGTCTATGTACAATGACTTCTCAATATTATTTTTCCTGAAAGGCAATTTTTTCTTGCCATGAATATTTTTTTTGGCAGTCGAAATAAATGAGTTTGAATTTATCACATTAAACTATTATACTTACAACTTTGGTTCTGAATACAGCTTCTTGATTTCAGAATAGCCCAGCTGTATATTACATCCTTTCTTCCAGCTGTTCCAGTGAGTTGTGACTTTTCTCTCACCTTTATCTGCAAATACAATACATTTTCAGTGATGTATGTAAGTAGAAACTACTTTTCCTGAAACCTTAATGCCACAAGTTTTTAATCTGTATTTGTTTTTTAGGCAATGTTTTTACACCAGCTTCAGGTGACTTATCTGCAGAACCAGGTGCACACATGTCCTGTACATCAAAACATGTTGTCTTTATTAATGTAATTACATTTCTGTTGGGAAAGGTTTAAGTAGCAGTATTAACATCATCTGGTTTTTGTGTACTCAGGGTATAATACTGCCACAAATGTACACTGCTGCCATGGCAAACATAGCAAATGTGCTGACAAACTACATCTTTCTTTACTGGCTGGATCTGGGTGTTAGGTAGGTTTATTCACAATTCTCAGTATAGCTTTTTTCAATCTGAATAAAACAATTCTACTCACTGATATCAACATGTCTGTGTGCACGTGTTACAGTGGGTCTGCAGCAGCCAATACTCTGTCTCAGGTTTACATCTGTGCTTTTCTGTTTGCTTACATTTGGTGGAAGAGGCTCCATGTAACAACATGGGGAGGTGAGGAATTTAATATTCATGGATTCCCTATGCTTTCATGCATCATTCTGTTCATCCTCCATCTTTTTCAGACTACATAAGTAAGTTTCTCTCTCCCCCTGCAGGCTGGTCTATAGAATCACTGCAGGAGTGGGGCTCCTACATGAAACTGGCCATTCCCAGTACATTAATGACTTGTTTCGAGTGGTGGGTTTATGAGTTTGGGGGATTCTTTGCAGGTAACAAATGTTTTCATAGTCACACTGAGCCCATTTCTATATGCAGCAGGACAGAAAGCCCATCTCTAAGCTCACTGATTTGATCAAACTATCATGTTAGACTTGAGTCACGGCTGTTTTTTTCTTCTTTGTCTATGCTGATCAGGAATGCTGAGTGAAGATGAGCTGGCAGCCCAACATGCTGTGATAATGGTGGCTTTCATAACCTACATGGTACTAACTACATTAGAGCTTCACATTATCACATTAAAACTCTTTTTTGTTTATTTGTTTTTTTTCTTCTTTGTTTGTTTATATTTATTTTATTTGGAACAAAATAAAAGACAAAACATCATTAAAATAAAATGAACGATAAGCCTGTACACAATCCCAATAAATAAATCCTAATAAACAATAAAAAATTTAATCTTACATGTTCAATAAAGAAGTAAGGGGAAGTATACACTTATTTATTTTTACCCTTTCTTTGTGACTTATCAAATAAATCATAAACATCATCTCCCACATATTTTTATATTATATATTCTCTGGTTCTCAGGTTTAGATTTACTTTAAAAATAACTTTTGAATACTCTCAGGAGAAGCTCTTTTGTATATTAGTGTGCATGCTTTATGATTCCTGAATGTATTTTTCTCATACTTTTATAAAATGATCAATCCATAGTTCCCTCTTGGTATTCAAGCTGCAGCATGTGCCCGTGTGGGAAATGCTCTCGGTGCAGGAGACACTGCCAGGGCGATCCTCACCAGCAAGATGTCACTTGCTCTTGCAGGTCAGTTAGGAACATGTTCTGTTGTTGTAGCCTGTATCAATGAATGAACATCCAGTGTTGAATTTCTTCAACATTTTTTACTATTTGAAGAGTTCACGCCTCCTCTTTTCCAGGTAGCTTTGCAGTTGTTGAAGGTATTGTGCTTGGCTCCACTAAAACAGTGATTGGCTTCATCTTCACCTCCGATGAGTGAGTCTCTACAGCCACACTCACATTATATAATGCTATAATTATTAGAATACAACTGCTCAAAGACGCCATCTTAATTATAATTTCAGGAAGATCATAGGTCTGGTCTCCCATTTGATGAATGCTTACTGTTTCCTTCAGTTCTTTGATGGTCTTGTGGTAAGTTAACCAGCCTGTCTTGTGTGCAGAGCCAAATCTATTTGCAGTATGATGTAAAAAGCAATTCATGTATGTCAAATAAGAAAGTTGTTTTTCTCCATCCTAGTGTGTGTGCACGGGCATCTTCTTGGGAACAGGCAAACAGAAGATACCAGCTGTGGCTAATCTCATTGGATACTACTGCATAGGACTGTCACTCAGCGTTACTTTAATGTTTGTCGCAAAACTGAGAGTTTTAGGTAATTGCACAAAGTGACCATGTTGTGATACTTTCATGGATGTTTGAGACAAATAAATGGCTGTACAGGAACAGCAGGTTATCATAAGTGAAGCATACTGTGCCATTGACGGACTAATTTATCTTTGTCTCTGCAGGCTTTTGGCTGGGACTGCTCATTTGTGTCGTCTTACAGTCCACCTTCTATATCATTGTCATCATCTTCAAGCTCAACTGGAAGAGAATGACAGAGGAGGTATGCTACCCACTAATCTAACAATCAGGATCATGCAGGGCCTCAGCTGTTTACATGTACTGACAGAATTTGTCCTATTTCAACAGCTGAGACAAATCTGGCAAACTTCAATGACTGTTTGTTAAGTGTATAAATAAGGAAAATCGGCATTTAAGTTTTTTTATTGGTTTGTTTGCAGGCTGTAAAACGAGCTCAGAAAAAGACACAGATGACATTGTTAGGCACAGCTGACCAGACAGCAAATAATGGGAGTGTAAGTGGTCTGTTATTCTTAACACTAACAACCTAAATGGATTTTCATAGCTTGTTTCACACAGTTATCAATGGACCTTTCTAGTTTGCTTTGTATGCAATGTTTTCTATTGGACAATTAAGTCAAACATACCAACTTTTCATTTAAGTTGTACCTCACTTGCTCTCCTTATGACTTAAATATAAAATATGATGTTTTTCCTCCTGAAGTCAGTGGATGGCTACACGTCTGTGAGCACTGACTGCCATGATGGGACCACGGAGACACAGAGTGAAAATGTGGTCCAGCAGCTGAAGGGTGGCCCTCTCTCCACCACCCAGCTGATCCTCAGACGGGGCCTTACTATGTTTGCAGCAGTTGCTCTTCTGGTTGTGGGAGCAAGTGTGCACTTCCTCGTGCCCTTGCCACAGACTCTGCCTTCAGAGGCCAACTTTACTTTGGACTGGATCAATAGTACTGATCAAATTTTCTCCACTGTGCTTGTAGAAGTGTCTGGGTAACCTTGAGAGCTCTGATCATAAAATCATTGTTTGTGCTCAATGCCAGAAAAACATTGAATTTTAGACTCTTGTGGACTCATTATCTTTGACAGAAAGTGGCACAACACAGGCATGTTTGATTTAAAAAAATAAAGTAAATTAATGGTGGGGGTAATATTTTGCTTTTAGAGGTTAATTCATTGTTTGATAAATTCCCCACTTGTAATTGAAAAGACAGCATTGGTGTTTTTAGAAAGACCAAAGACAAGGTAAACCACTTGAATACAAGGCAGGGTGGACCAATTATTTGTCCTTGTACTACTATATTCATGTATGTCAAATTCACATACTTCAGGTCAATGTCTCCATGTAATAAATCTATTATACAATTGCTATCCACTCTACTTTTTTTGAAGTCTCTTTAACTTTAACGCTTTCTTTGAGCTTTAAGTTCTATTGATAATATATAACCTTAATATAGATATATGATATATTGTACTGACACTATCATCACTCTTTGAACCAAGACAGTCTGTTATTATTTCTGACCAATAAGTTGGAGGTTAGACAATTCCAAAATGTGAAAGGCTTTCGAAAGAATAAATGTTTACATCGTCTCCAACAATGCCCGTAGTGTGGTTTGACATTCTGTTAATGTTTTGTCTTTGGAGTGATGAGAAACCTGATGATGTTCTTACAGCAGAATTATCTCTTTATTGACCAGAACTAGAGGTAGTAAATTGTATTTTACATGTTTAACCATTCAAGATCAAAACACTCACTGTTTCCAAGTCCTTCATCCTAGTCTTTGTTGTTATTGCAGGCCTTTTTTCTTGTTTTTACAATCTGCCTTGTTTCAGCTGGCCTTGGCTCAGTTCCAGGGCAGCTGTGACCACAGCGAGATTTCCATCCTTTCTAACATCCTGGAGAGCAACTAAGATAAGCTCATGAGAGAAAAGACTGACACTTCAAGACAGGGACCTGAATTGGTATCTCATCCTGCAGACATGGAGGGGTTCAGTGACAAGGTTTTCTTCTGCAGGTGGATGCGCCACAGGGTTCCCCTGGCCCACAGAGAGGAACTGTGCCACATCCTGAGGATGACAGGGCCTCTGGTAAGGACTGGCTCTGTTTACATACCCTGCTCTGTCTGAAAGGGACTGTGAGGATTGAGGCTGTCCTCACTGAAAAGCTGACTTATACAACAGAAGATTGATGACAGTCTTTCTTTGCCAAAGAAAAGGTTAAGATGTCAGGAAAACAGACTTTGGTGTCGGAGACTTAGAGGCAGAAATCAATAGACCTATAACAGTGTTTGGCAGGTTTCAAACAGCGGCTGAACAGTGGCTGCAACCTGGCAAAGTCATGACAGTTTGGTAGTTTATTTGCAAAGACATAGGCTGAGTGCTAATTAATTGCAACTTGTGTTTACTGTAGTTTACAATGTATTACCTGTTACCTGCTAGCTGTATCAACTGCACCATATGTTGATGTTTGTCTTTCTGTAGCTGCTGTCTCGAATCCTCAATTGCCTGCTTCCATTTGTGGTTACAATTTTCTGTGGGCGTCTGGGAAATGAAGTGATGGCTGGCTATGGATTAGCTTCTGCTGTAAGTGGTCATCTGTATGTTCCATAGACTTGTGGAGGCTAACATTAAGAAATGACAGGTGGAAATGGAATTTTATGGGAGAAAATTGAATATTACAATTGTTAACTCACCTTCCCATGATAGCTTTTACAATTTTCTCACAAACCTGATGGTTTAATCAATAACTAATACATTTACTCCTATGAGTCATAGAAATATTGGTTACATCAGAGTCCTCGAGCGAACATCAGACTCATTCAAGTATGTTTCATATTTATTTCAGACCATTAATGTTACCACTGCAGCAACAGGGTATGGTCTGGGACTGGCATGTGATACTTTAGTATCTCAGGTGTGGAAAACCCTTTTGATATAATGATATAATACACTTGAATTTTTTATTGACCCCTACTGTTTATCACAGCCCTCCTTTCTAAATGTTAATTATGTTGTGCAGACATTTGGTGGAGGAACCTGCTGCGGGTGGAGCTGAATCCTTCAGCGGGGCATCTCATGCCTGCGTGTTTGTTCTGTCCTGGCACGCTGGGCCTTCTCATCTAATCTGTCATGCCATCCGTTATGCCTGGCCAGGAACCCTGAGGTACCAGGTAACTAACAGCAGCAAACTTGCATGTAAAATCAGTGGCCTCTGTTCCTGTGAATGGAATTCAGTAAGAACTTTTCCTCCTGTCCACTTTAACAAACACCACCTCTGCATTGAAATCATTTCAAGTCTCCTCAGAGTCACTGAACAGATTCAGCATAGAATATCTTTGTTTAGGTTCTGGGCAAGTAGAGTATAGTGGGATTAACAGAGCTAATGTAAACACAGCTGCTTGCTGCTGCTGCTGCAAAGGTCTATAGAGCTGCAGAGTTGGGTAACAATTCTCTGTGAGTTCTTCACTATGAGCAAATTCATGTAACTCAGTCATTTGATACTTGATAGTTTCTCATTAAATTGGACAATTCCATACTTCTGGCTTGTTGGTATTTAATTAAACTGAATACAGCATCTTAATTTCAGAATAGCCCAGCTGTATATCACAGGCTTCCTTCCTGCCGTACCAGTGAGTCGATACTTTTCTCTTACCCTTAAGTGAAAATTTAACACATCTTATTATTATTTTGTGTTTTTTCTGTCCAATCGGCTGTTAAATAAAATTATAAACCCTTTTTAAAACAATCTCTCTCTATAGGCAATGTTTCTACATCATCTTCAGGTGTCTTATCTGCAGAATCAGGTGTGTTGCTGTCTAATTGTCTGTCTTGATCCCATTCTGTAATATCTTTTTTTATTGTATGCAAATGTTGTAAATCTTATTAAAGGTAATTGAATTACTGATGGGAAAGGTTTAAGTGGCTGTAATAACATTGTCTGGTTTTTGTGTACTCAGGGTATAATACTGCCACAAATGTACACTGCTGCCATGGCAAACATAGCAAATGTGCTGACAAACTACATCTTTCTTTACTGGCTGGATCTGGGTGTTAGGTAGGTTTATTCACAATTCTCAGTATAGCATTTTAAATCTGAATAAAACAATTCTACACACTGATATCAACATGTCTTTGTCCATGTTTTACAGTGGGTCTGCAGCAGCCAATACTCTGTCTCAGATTTACATCTGTGCTTTTCTGTTTGCTTACATTTGGTGGAAGAGGCTCCATGTAACAACATGGGGGGGTGAGGGGCAGTTATATTTAGTATATATTTGTGGGGACCTTATGATCTCATGGGCCACTTTGTTCATACTTCACATTTTTTCTTAACATAAGTAAGTTTCTCTCTCCCCCTGCAGGCTGGTCTATAGAATCACTGCAGGAGTGGGGTTCCTACATGAAACTGGCCATTCCCAGTACATTCATGAAGTGCTTTGAGTGGTGGGTTTATGAGTTCGGTGGATTCTTTGCAGGTAATCGAAATATTAGATATCAGTAAGCCATTTTATTTAATCTAACCATAAACAAATTTTTGAGTCATGGCTGTTTTTTCTTTCTCTCTGCTGATCAGGAATGCTAAGTGAAGATGAGCTGGCAGCCCAACATGCTGTGATAATGGTGGCCTTCATAACCTACATGGTACTAACTACATGTCTGAGTGTTACATTCTTACTTTCTCTTATTTGAACTCAGGAGCCAACTCTTTTTCATACTTTTTCTGAAATACTGAATCCATAGTTCCCTCTTGGTATTCAAGCAGCAGCATGTGCCCGTGTGGGAAATGCTCTCGGTGCAGGAGACAGCGCCAGGGCGATCCTCACCAGCAAGGTATCCCTCACCCTTGCAGGTCAGTTAGGAATGTTTTCCAGTATTGTAGTTTACATGAATTCTGCTTCTGTTTCTGTAGTATTTGAAGAGTTCACAGCTTCTCTTTTTCAGGTAGCTTTGCAGTTGTTGAAGGTATTGTTCTTGGCTCTACTAAAACAGTGATTGGCTATATCTTCACCTCTGATGAGTGAGTCTAAATATCTGTAATACTCTATGATTGTTGATGTAGTATTGCAACATAGCAAAACTGTCTTGAAAAACTAGATCTAAATTAGAAAACCTTATTTCAGGAAGATCGTAAGTCTGGTCTCGCACTTGATGAATGCTTACTGTTTCCTTCAGTTCTTTGATGGACTTGTGGTGAGTATTATAGTTTTTCGTTTTTCTTGTCAGCACAACAACTACATTTGCATTTAGCTACAAAAGGCATGTCAAATATAAAATGTTGATCTAACCAGAACCAGAACAATGGTGACTAATGGAGTAAGAGTGCATAATAATTAAAGATTTGTCTGTTTACATCCTAGTGTGTGTGCACAGGCATCTTCTTGGGCACAGGCAAACAGAAGATACCAGCTGTGGCTAATCTCATTGGATACTACGGCATAGGACTCTCACTGAGTGTTACTTTAATGTTCGTCGCAAAACTGAGAGTTTTAGGTGATTGCATGAATTAACCTTTTTTGTCATTTGAAAAAAGCTGTTTTAAGCAAAGCCTGCTGTGCCCTAGACAGACTAATTTGTCTTTTTCTCCACAGGTTTTTGGCTGGGATTGCTCATTTGTGTCATTTTGCAATCTACCTTCTACATCATTGTCATCTTTAAGCTGAACTGGGAACGAATGACAGAGGAGGTATGCTGAACTTCAGAATGTGGACATTAATTTCTAGAGAAATAAGTGCTGAGCTTTCAAAAGGAATTTGTTACATGTAAGAAAATTAGAAATTGGAAGTGGTTGGTTGTTTCTGCTTGTTTGCAGGCTGTGGACCGAGCACAGAAAAACACTCAAATGACATATTCGAGCACAGATGTCCGGTCAGATGGTGCAGAAAACAACACTGCTGGCCAGACAGAAACTAATGGGAGTGTAAGTGGCCTGTTATTCCTAACACGAGCAAATATTGATTGAAATTACCTTTCATACTCAACCATAAAGAGTAATGTAATAAATAAAGTATCTTTCTCCCAAGTCAGTGGATGGCTACATGGCTGTGAGCACTGAGCACCCTGATGGGACCACAGAGACGCAGGTTGGACATGGGGTCCAGCAGCAGGATGGCCCTCTCTCCACCACCCAGCTGATTCTCAGACGAGGTCTTACTATGTTTGCAGCAGTTGCTCTTCTGGTTGTGGGAGCAAGTGTGCACTTCCTCGTGCCCTTGCCCCAGACCATGCCTTCAGAGGCCAACTTTACTTTGGACTGGATTAACACTACATATACTCCTGATCAAATCTTCCCCCATGCACTGGTCCCAAATGAAGAGTCAGATTGACTTTTACAGTCCAAGATAACCACAATGTTTCTGTTTAATGTATTAAATACAGAGGTTGTCAAACTCTCTTTAGTTTGACTCATTCTCTTTGGCAGAATGTGACTATGAGCTGAACACTAGCATGATTCACTAGAAAGTCTTGTGAATGAGTGGTTTGAGAATATTTTGCTTTGACACATCAATTCATTGGATCATTTTACTTTCTGTCTACTTTTTGCTCATCTGCAGTTTTGCCTTTCTTCAGCATGTCCTGCTTTGACAACCTGTAATGCCATCATCTGCATTTAACTGTGCCCTGGTGGCTAAGGAGTTTCTCCACTGAATACAACAGAATTGTCATGTTCATGTAACCAAGTTAGTGATGAGCAGATTAATAATGATTCCAGCAGCCAGGATGAATAACATGACAGCCAAAGCTAGGCCCCTACGCAGAACCAGAGTCCTGTAAGGGAGCTCCTCTTCCACTGCTGGTCCCTCCTCAGTTTCAGCCAGGTTCATGGTGTCTGTTTGTTCCTGTGAGTTCCCTGAATCATTTGGATGGGGACCTGGACATACAAGTGCAAATGTGACTGTAATGTTTTCACAAAAAAAAATACTACATTGTGACTAGATCAACAAGATTAGAACAATATTCTATTTGGCATTGTTTTTTGTCAAAATGAGTTATTCACATTAAACTATTCTTATTAACATTTTGTATAGGTTTATTTTTAGATGTATGCATTAATAGAGTGTCAATAGTCCTTAGCTTTTGTAGATACTTGAAAGGTGCTACATGCATCATTTTAGCAATTTACATTTACATTTAATCAATGTACCACTTATAGTCTAAACTGGCTCCTGAGGAAGAGTGTCCCATGCTGAAGATGCTTTTAGAGGTATAAAATGCTTCAGTAGCTGCACAATCTCTTACTTGTGTCTGTGGAGCTCCCACACACTCCCGCTCTGATTTGAGCCTGGAATAAAAACAATGTTTAATGTGTATTCATAAAGAAGTAGCCTTAGGCTTTCTAGAATGGGAAGATTTAACTCTGAATACTAACCTCGACTGTCACTTTCTTCCAGTTCAGTCTTACCAGGTAGAAAATCAGAAATGAGGACTGTAGAGCCACGCAGGTAAACAAGCCTGTCCACAGACCTGAGGGAAATAGAGAGTTTTACATCTTGCTTTAAAAATAGCAAGCAGATGTTGATGCTGTGGTGGAACTCTATCTAAAAAAAGACACTACTAGTTAGGTAACAATGTGTCAAAACAGCTGAAGGCTAAAAAACAATCTCTGCTGTAAATCTTACCCTTGATTCCTAATTTGGCTGCAAACATCAGTGGCACTCCAATAGGAAAACCAACACCATAAAATCCCAAAATGTTGCAAACAGCCCCAATTCTCTGTTTACCTGCTCCTCTTATAATGCCTCCCGAGGCAGCCTAGTCACACAAACATAATGAAGATGTGGTTAAACTTGACAAGAAAAGCACACGGTATTGTTTTGCAAATGCAATAATACATGGGTATGTCACGAGATCCTATTTGGACAAAATGACAAAGGTACTTACTGATACTGCATCTAGGAGGACAAATGGAGCATAAAAAGATATAACGTCAGCAACCCTTTCCCTAATTTGTCTGAAAGAAGAGTGACTCAAAATGTTTAGTTTGACATGAGAAATAACATTAACATGTTTTTATTTTTGCACTGTGACATATTATATTATCCTAATATTGTTGACCAAAGAGGAATCAATAAATTGCCATTAACCACAGTGATGCTACTGAGTGCAACTGTCAGGAACCTTAACCTCAAGTTAATATGTAAAAGAATATGGGTTCGCAAAGTTCAGTTTACTGTGTAAGCAATAACAAAAATAATGGTGAAAGGTCATTTTTTCTTTTAAAAGATCTGTTATCTCTCTCAGACTTGACACTGACTCTGTATGTGTTAACATTCAATGACAAGTAGCAGTGACCATGTAGAAAATTGGTAGGGTCAAACTTAGTTTAAGCGTCAAGTTAAGTGCAAGGGACTGGCAGGGGCCGGGGGCAAACTGTAGTTTAGTAGGCAAACAGCCTCATGTATGAAGGTTGCTTTCCTCCGGTTACTCGTAGCTCCAGGGCAGTGCAGATGCCTGTCAGAGGGAGGCCATCTGAATGCCCCTTGTTGGACATGGGGCTTTAGAATGGCTGCCCTTTGGCAGGCGTCAGTGCTAACATAACACACACTGGGAAAAGACACCATTGTAAAATAACTTTTTAATTTTATAATGGTAATGAATAAAATTGTTGTTACAAACACAAACGTTAAAGATAACCACAGTGATTCTACTCAGCATAACTGAGCACAACTGTGAGGAGCATTTACCTCAAGTTAACAAGTTAAAGAATATGGGTCGCAAAGTTCACCGTTTACTGTGTAGGTAATAACTGACATGATAGTGAGGTCACGTGAGACATATTATCTCTCTCACACTTGACATTGGGTCTGTATAGGTTAACACACCCTGGGAAAACACTGTGTTGTTTTACAAAGGTAATAAATTCAAATGTGGTTACAAAAACATATGTTACATATACTCACTCATCATATGTAAAGACATAAGAGATATGGTCCTTCAGGCCACCGATGAAAACCGACAAACATATAGAGACTGACACTGTGATAAAGAGTAACAGACTTAATTATCTATCAGTTGCAGCATTCAGAAGGTGAATTGATTCCTTTTCTGTAAATGCAATATATTCACACAAAGGACAACTACAGTCTCCTATTATCGACCAGTAAGTAGCTCTGCTAGAGCAGCTTGGGTACTTAATGCTTGAGTGGATGATAAGGGAGGTGAGAGTATGAAATTAGACTTATATAATAATAATTCTGGTCTTATCATCTTTAATATGTCATGTTAATAAGATTTTAACATATAGCACATCAATAGTGTTTAAAAGCATACTGACCTGCACAGAACATTGTCAGTTTCGCAGACAGCTTGGCCTGCTCTGTGTCTCCGGCTCCCAAGGCATTCCCAACTCTGACATTGCCTGCTATACTGAAACCCAAAGGGAACTAATAACAAATACACTACATTAACATGCTGCTACACCACATGAATAAATAGTTGAATTATTTCAGACAATAACTACTTGATGTATATTCGGTATTTGGTAGATCAAATATAATTTTAACATAAGGGAAATTACCATGTATGCAACATTTGCCAGTTCATATACAACTGATTGAGCTCCAAGCTCCACCTCACTTATTAGACCTGTAAATAACAACAGGTGTTAGACTTCAGATGAGCTTTAGTTCACACAAAAGCTTTAGAACCACAAAGAGGGTACCAGAGCAACATTACCTGCTAGAAAACTTCCAATCTCATACGTCCACCACTCAACACACAACATGATCATGCTGGGGATGGCCAAGTGGATGTATGAGCGCCAGTCCCGCAGGCACTCTTTAGACCATCCTGTGCAATTAAATAATGAATCAATAGATCATTCAATTACTCAGTCACTTCATCAATCAGTCTACATGTCCATCTACAACACAAAATTTGTTTTTATTTCAAACAAAGAATGTAATGCATGTATAATTTACATCTAGCGGTGAGGTTGCAGATTACAACTAACTGAATACTGCTCGCATCAGTATTTGACGACCTGAGAATGAGGACGGGCTGTAAAACACATAAAAATGTGCTATCTGCAGCCAGTGTTTGGTTTGTTTGTTCTGGGTTACTGTAGAAACTATTACTAGTAGAAATATTATATTCCATTTCTGACAATAGGTGTGACATGAGCTGGGGAAGACTGCCATCTGCATAAATGCCCTCAGGATATCCAATATGGAAAACATCTTATACTGTTGTTGAGACATCTATTTGTTTTCCAAATCTCACATATTTGCTTTATTCTTTTAAACTTTCCTCTATCAGATAAAGTAAAGTATTTTTTTATATTAAACTTGAGGAAGAGGTGCAGTTATTGCTCTTTCTGACACCACATATTGTACACACAGCCTTAAATGAATAATGGTCTGTTTCTGATGATGTGTGGGTGTTGTTTTCTTGAAACACCTTTAACACAGTCAACGGTATGTTTTGTTTTCCAGTCAGATAGCTAAATACAAGAGTATTAGAAATCACTTCAAAAACTCAGAGTCTTGACTTCGAAGCAACAACTTTATGGAACTACAACCCTACCACTCAGAGTTTTCTTTATCGCTGTAGTACCACATTAAGACATGCTGAAGGAAACAACTGATTATATGCCAGATCACTCTACTCCAATGCAAAAGTTGTACTCACCTCCCCAGGTGCTCTTATGAAGACCTTTCCAAATGATATAAGCATAGAGAACGGCAGCCATGGAGAATTGGGAAAGGGTGTTGGCAACAGCAGAACCTCTGTAAAGAGAATTTTGTTGCTTGATGTTGGTTATTTGAATTAACCAATGATGATGTTACTGAAAGATTCATGTGCAGTTCAACGGGCAGTACTCACGCTACTCCTAGATTTAATGGGTAGAGAAAGATGTAGTTGATGAGAGCATTAAGAATATTGACCACAAAGCCTGTGATTACCTGTGGCCATATGATGCCCTGAAAGAGACGTGCCACATGTTATTCTTATTGGACACTAGTGAAGTGAGAACCCAAAAATTAGCCAGTTTGGGCCTGAAAAGGCAACAGAATCTACCGTACAGAGTTTAGCCTCACCACCTGGACAAGAAATGTGTTTTGCACACTTACTGATTTTACAAAATCAACAAACACAAAATAAAATAAAAAAGTTGATTCAAATGGAGGCTTATGGTTTCATAAACATTTATTTTAAGGTCAAGAAGTCCTGACCTGATTGCCATCTGAATTCACATCAACATGCAGGCTGGAGCAAAATATTCAGATTCAGATTCAG